GTATTATATGTTACTGTAATATATATACACACACTACAATATAAATGATAAGATGTATAATATAATATAATAATAATATAATGATATATGATATACAATATATACTAATATATGACGTACGATGAATTATTATATATAATAATATGAATATAAAAATTTCTATGTATGTAACATTGTGTGTATATATGATACATAGTACAATTTAGCTAAAGGTTTATTAGTTCTTCAATAAAGAAAATTTAAATGAATAATAAAATTTGAGAAACTAAAAGAAATGTAAATCATAATACTCTTCATGTTACTGGTTCAGATATAATGTTACTATTATTATTATCATACATATCATAATACAATACATATATATTATACAATATATACATTATTATTATATTATTACATTCTAGTATATTATGTCATTAGTACATATTATACATACATTATTCAAAATATTATAATATTATGTACACATATTTATATACGATTTAATATTTTTTCACGTTTTTTTTTTTTATTAAAAATCACTCTACTATTAACATTCTAACGAAGTAAACTGCAAGTATGTAGATTATGTAGACGCCGAAACTGGTTTCGAAGCCTCCAACGATCATAGTAAACGATCACTTCGAGTACAGTAGGGTTAGATAAAGATAAATCTACGAAGAAAAAAGCCTCCTACATTCGTCTTTCGTTCACTCAGGAATTTCCTTCTTTTTCGACAAAATCCACGATGTTAATCGCAAACGATTGCACGAGATGATACATACTTTTAATTTGTCGGCGAGTGAAAGCGTGGCATCGAATTAGCAATAACAGTGCACAAACGAACGATTCGCGAGAATGATGCCCATTGTCCCTCTGAGCTATCTGACCATTTACCCTGGTCGAGTTGGTCCCTGGAGCGCGAACAGTCGACGCCCAATAAAGAAACATACGGCCGTGTAATAAGACGATGATTCAGAACGGCGCGAAATTGTCCAGGGATTGCCTCGTACAAAAGGGACCGGGTGGATTGGAACTATGCCGAAGAACACGGGGGAGGTTTCGCGAGAAGTCGTACCATTTACCCTACGAGGCCGGTAACTTCGCGTGGAAACCAGAACGAATGCCCCACGCGGGGTAACTCAAGATGCCTTTCTTCTCGACCATTTCTTCCTTTCCCTTTTTTTTCTTTTTCGCCAGAACGAGATATACGCGTGCCATTTCGTGGTTGGAAACTTGACTGGCAGAAGGAAACGCAGATCTGATCAGAGCTTTAATGCATTCTCTGCTGCGTGATTTGAAAAATTGAAAAAAAAGAAAAAGAAAATAGTGTGTTACTGCGAGTTGAAATTAGAATATACACTCCAGTACTTTCTCCCTTATGTATAGTACATTTTCACCAATGAAATAGAACTCAGCAACAATCAAACAAAAGTCAAATGCAAAATCGTATCAATATCCCCTAGTTTTTGTAAGCGGTGTATTTGGAAATTTAAGTTACCACAAAATTTAGGTTACCAAATTTGTGAATGATTTCCATGCGAATTCGTGACTTTGGAAATGTGATTGAGACACGGAACTTTGGTTGAAGATTGTTGGCTCTATTTCGAATATTTCGTATCCCGTAACGGGAACAGGACGTATTTTTGATCACACAGCCTGGAAAACAGAACGTGTATTATTATACATTATTAAAAATGTCAATTTACAAATTTAGGTTACGAGATTGTGGATTTTTATAAAAGTTCGTGTTTTTGGAAATACAGGACAGAATTGTTGTTACGTGATAAATATTGTTGGGAACAATATCTTTTGGATATTTTTGATGATATTTTTGAGAGCAGAACGTATCTCTTGTCACACAGTCTAAAAGAGAGCTTGTATTATTATATATTGAGAAAAATTGTCACATTTACAAATTTCAGGTTATTACGAAACTATTTTTATCCGAACTCGTAATTTTGAGTATGGTAGGACTTTGGTTGAAAATTGTACGTAGTAAATATTATTGGAAACAATATATTTTGGATATTTTATAAAGGAACTCCTGTAACAATTGTGTTACTGAAAATGTCGATCAAAATTGTCATATTTACATAGATCTAAATTCTTACTAGATTTTTACGCGAATTCGCAGTCTTGGAGATGTTAATGAAAGAAGAAACCTTGATAGAAAATTTACATCGTAGTAAGTACTGTCATCAAGAGCATTACATTTAGGATATTTTATACAGAATGTCTTGCAACAAAAACACAATTGTGTTACTATGTATTAATCAAAATTGTCGTATTTACAAATTTAAATTATCGCTAGATTGTAGATTTTTGGAAATCGTATTTTTGGAAATATAATTGAAAAATAAGACCTTGATAGATAATTATCCTTATTTAAATTAATATTGTTAAATATTATTTACCATGTACAACTTCGAACAAAAATTATTTCAATAGTAAAACCTTTATTTTTATCCATCAGAAGACAATCGAGAAACTCGGATGACAAAAGCTCACTAGCCTTCTCTCATTTGTTTGAATGATAAGAGATAATAAATAAGAATAAGAAGTCGATCAATTACGAGCTCGTATATTTAAGGCTCAACATTAACTGATTGGTATAAACGAAGTGCGTAATATACATCGAATCAATATTTAATAACTTTTACTATTATTATTAATATAATTATAAAATGAATGAAAATTACGACAAAGATCTAAAGTATATTTGGATATTTTATACCAATTAATTGACAGGGAGAAGTAAGTTGAAAAGGGAAAACAGTTTATATCCGAGGAAATCACGTTTAAAATATATTTAAATTCGCTTAATTCCGGACTGAGCACCAGAATGAATAATGAATAATGAATAATGACGTACGAAATTAAGCGAATTCGATGAACGTATACGTGTAGAATAAAACTTTTCCATTTCCATTTCCATGCTTCGTGTATATTTCTCATATTACGTGCGTTCTCTGCAATTTTTCGCTTGCAAATTTCACTTGTAAATGAAATAAAATTCCGCAATCGTTTCGTTGCACAACACCTTATTTATCACCGTGGCAACTAATGTGTGATCCTTGTACACCGGATACGAATGTGAAAATTGATCTCATCCTGTTGATTTTTGAAAAAATCCGGGAAAACGCAAGCTTCGAATTTTCAACACCCTTTGTGAATGTATTTTCACATAGTGTAATTCTACAGATTTTTCCTAATATAATAATGTATATTTGATCTTACAAAGATGTAATTAAGAAATATTCGAAATAATTTATTACATTTAATTTCATTTGTATACAGGCCGAGTTACCTAATTCAAATTTCTTGCAAATCATTTTGCTATAGGAAAAAATAATTATTAAGAGACATCGGTCTTTATTTAATATCTATCAAAATATGAAATTCTAATTTAATAGTCGACAACTCGACGACACTAATTGACGATGATTTATAGCCAGTGTATAAATGTTGAAAAAAGGAAAATTATTCATTCTTGATGGAGCTTTGATTCAGAAAGAGAATCAAGTTCTTAGCTCGGCAAGGCAATCTCCAATTTCGTGTTTCAATTTTCAAAAAAAAAAAAAAAAAAAAATCTGTACAGCCAATTTTCCAGCCACGCGCGGTGCAAACGAAACGAGACCATAGAAGCCATAGGAAACGCACGGGGAGAGAAAAAATATATATAAAATATAACGCGAGTTTCGAAACCGGTTCGGTTAGAGTCTAGTTGTAGCCGAGATTCGGAATGAACTTTTTTTTCTTTCCTTGTCGCTCCATACGTGGGAGATCCACGTACGCTTTGCACGCGCTTTATGTGTGTCCCGAGGAAAAGCACGAACGAAAAAAAAAAAAAAAAGAAAAAGAAAAAAAGAGAAAAAAAAAGATACGCACCCTCGAGAGAACGAGAGAGTTTTGCAGGTACGAATAACGATCGTTGTTGCATCCCTCCTCTCTTCCACCCCGACCCGCTCTTCTAGCATCGGGACACGCAGGAAACGCTGACAGTCCTCGACAGGTTGGACCTCGATACCGAGAAGCCGACGGACGAGGAACTGGCAAGGAAGTTCGGCTTCGAGGAAGCGTATTACGAGGGCACCCTCACGTGGTGGCAGAAGCTCAAGCCCCAGATGTGGTCGCTGTTCGATGAGCCCTACTCCTCGCTGGCAGCCAAGGTTCGTACACCTCCATATTCTCTGAGTTTCTCGCGCATGGTGTCCAGTTTTAATCAGGATATGGAACTATCTTCCAAACCATGTACATGGATTCTGTTATCCTTCGACGCGGAAGTGATAAAATCGATTCGGTTGCACGTAGCTGGAGACGATTCGTCGACTTAATTTCTTTTTTTAGATTTTCTTAGATAAATGGAATTTTTTTTTTTTTTTTGATACATCTCTTCACTTTCTGTAAAATAACATTACGCCGGAAAACTATTAATTTAGGAGATATTTTTTAACTTTAATCTTTTTTTCCTATGAAATCTGCATGGGTTTTTTTTTGAAAAAAAAAAAAAAATATAAGTTCTATTTAAAAAAGTTAAGATTTAGAAAGTAATTCCATTCGTAGATCAAAACTGGACGCTATGTATATAGTGTGTCCTGAGAGAAAACCAAATAATTTTATCAGCGCGAATGAAAAAGATTATATGTACTCTATCGGTAATTTTAACTCACTTGTTTTTTGAAAAGGTCGTTTTATATAATTTTATTTTTTTACCTTTCATATATTTTATATCTCTCTTTGCTTGAATAAAATGTGATGGCCATGCAAATCACTGGACTTAATTCTGATGGATTGTTTTTCTTGCGGTTAACAAGCGTAAAGCAAAAGTAATTTAACCTACAAAAGTAACGACAATAGTACAGCCTGAAAACACGCGTAGAATTAATAGAAACAATACTCAATACCGAATTATACGACATTAAAAATTA